AATGATTCCTTTTTTCTTTACATTTATTAATATACTTCCTTGACAGAACATGCAATCTATCAATAGGGAAATTGTTGCATTTCAATCTGACTCACACCTAGTGTACACTTGTAGCATCAACAAACGGCCACCTCATACTCAAACCTCGTGTACACTTGTAGTGTTAGCACAGAGTCAGTGAACAACTGGCCACTTCAGACATACTGGGATCTACCATCCTCTGAGGGAAGCATCACTGTAGCTTGTGTCCTTAACTCATGGTATATAACACAAGGGCCTGCTGTCCTCTGAGGTAAGCATCACTGTAGCTTGTGTCCTTAATTCATAGTTATAACACAAGGACCTGCTGTCCTCTGAGGTAAGCGTCACTGTAGCTTGTGTCCTTAACTCATAGTTATAACACAAGGACCTGCTGTCCTCTTAGGTAAGAGTCACTGTAGCTTGTGTCCTTAACTCATAGTTATAACACAAGGACCTGCTGTCCTCTTAGGTAAGAGTCACTGTAGCTTGTGTCCTTAACTCATGGTATATAACACAAGGATCTACCATTCTCTGAGGTAAGCGTCACTGTAGCTTGTGTCCTTAACTCATGGTATATAACACAAGGATCTACCATCCTCTGAGGTAAGAGTCACTGTAGCTTGTGTCCTTAACTCATGGTATATAACACAAGGGCCTGCTGCTCTCTGAGGTAAGCGTCACTGTAGCTTGTGTCCTTAACTCATGGTATATAACACAAGGACCTGCTGTCCTCTGAGGTAAGCATCACTGTAGCTTGTGTCCTTAACTCATGGTATATAACACAAGGACCTGCTGTCCTCTGAGGTGAGCATCACTGTAGCTTGTGTCCTTAACTCATGGTATATAACACAAGGGCCTGCTGCTCTCTGAGGTAAGCGTCACTGTAGCCTGTGTCCTTAACTCATGCTATATAACACAAGGGCCTGCTGTCCTCTGAGGTAAGCGTCACTGTAGCTTGTGTCCTTAACTCATGGTATATAACACAAGGACCTGCTTTACTCTGAGGTAAGTGTCACAGTAGCTTGTGTCCTTAACTCATGGTATATAACACAAGGACCTGCTTTACTCTGAGGTAAGCGTCACAGTAGCTTGTGTCCTTAACTCATGGTATATATAACACAAGGGCCTGCTGCTCTCTGAGGTAAGCGTCACTGTAGCCTGTGTCCTTAACTCATGCTATATAACACAAGGGCCTGCTGTCCTCTGAGGTAAGCGTCACTGTAGCTTGTGTCCTTAACTCATGGTATATAACACAAGGACCTGCTTTACTCTGAGGTAAGTGTCACAGTAGCTTGTGTCCTTAACTCATGGTATATAACACAAGGACCTGCTTTACTCTGAGGTAAGCGTCACAGTAGCTTGTGTCCTTAACTCATGGTATATATAACACAAGGGCCTGCTGTCCTCTGAGGTAAGCGTCACTGTAGCCTGTGTCCTTAACTCATGGTATATAACACAATGACCTACCATCCTCTGAGGTAAGCGCCACTGTAGCTTGTGTCCTAAACTAATGGTATAATTACTTAAACAATCTTAATTTCAAGTTGTAGTGAATGTTTGATACAATATGTGATCTGTAACATGTACAGCGTGGAACTTTTAGTCAAACTGTAACACAAAACATGCCAGAACTGGATATTTCAGTCTCAAAAACTACACACATCACGAGGATGACAGAACAAGTGTTTTCTGAATAATTCAACTGGGGGCATAAATCACAATATCATCTGCAAAATACAAAGATTATCAATAAGTAAAGCCAACCTAAATCCAACCTTAACACAAAAGTTCCACAAGCGTAACCAAAAGACATCCCCAACACTACACCTTGGCATAAACTTCTCCTTACCAACGGACATTGACACTTAGTATCATAATTGGTTAAAATTAGCATTTCCTCCACCATTTCCTGTAAATCTATGGGGACATGGGGGGTCGAGTTGTCCAAGGCACCACAAGTCATTGTGCTGAACTGCATCTCTTGGGCAATCTATACTGAAACACTTTGAAAATGCATAAGTATTTGAAAAAATGGCCACGGAAACATATGAATTTGTTCTGTGTATGAGACATGGGAAGATAATCAGACATAACAATCTCATGTTGTCACTGTCAGCACTCTTTGTCATGCCAGCAAATATTTACTGCCAAAATCATTTTCTTGTCCTTCAATTTAAAGTTGATTATGCGTCTTCAAAGCGTTTCGGTACATGCTTCAAATATATGGGTTCAAATGTAAGATCAGCCCTCATTGTGATTGATCATTTCTCAGCACCAAACCCAACTAATGGTTTTCACACAAAAAGTAAATATCTACTGCCTCCATCATTGAAGGCTATCCTCCCACATCAAGCTGACAGAAGATATAACTGAAATTCGTCTACATCAAGCTGACACAGGCTGTAACTGAAATACTCCCACATCAAGCTGACACAAGATATAACTGAAATACTCCCCAATCAAACTGACACATGATAGAACTGAAATACTCCCACATCAAACTGACACATGATATAACTGAAATACTCCCACATCAAGCTGACACATGATAGAACTGAAATACTCCCACATCAAACTGACACATGATATAACTGAAATACTCCCACATCAAGCTGACACAAGATATAACTGAAATACTCCCACATCAAACTGACACATGATATAACTGAAATACTCCCACATCAAGCTGACACAAGATATAACTGAAATACTCCCACATCAAGCTGACACATGATATAACTGAAACACTCCCACATCAAACTGACACAAGACATAACTGAAATACTCCCACATCAAACTGACACATGATATAACTGAAATACTCCCACATCAAGCTGACACAAGATATAACTGAAATACTCCCACATCAAGCTGACACATGATATAACTGAAACACTCCCATATCAAACTGACACAAGACATAACTGAAATACTCCCACATCAAACTGACACATGATAGAACTGAAATACTCCCACATCAAACTGACACATGATATAACTGAAATACTCCCACATCAAGCTGACACAAGATATAACTGAAACACTCCCACATCAAGCTGACACATGATGTAACTGAAATACTCCCACTTAAAACTGACACATGATATAACTGAAATACTCCCACATCAAACTGACACATGATATAACTGAAATACTCCCACATCAAGCTGACACATGATATAACTGAAATACTCCCACTTAAAATTGACACATGATATAACTGAAATACTCAAACATCAAACTGACACATGATATAACTGAAATACTCCCACATCAAGCTGACACATGATATAACTGAAATACTCCCACTTAAAATTGACACATGATATAACTGAAATACTCCCACATCAAACTGACACAAGATATAACTGAAATACTCCCACATCAAACTGACACAAGATATAACTGAAATACCCCCACATCAAACTGACACATGATATAACTGAAATACTCAAACATCAAGCTGACACATGATATAACTGAAATACTCCCACATCAAACTGACACATGATATAACTGAAATACTCAAACATCAAACTGACACATGATATAACTGAAATACTCCCACATCAAACTGACACATGATATAACTGAAATACCCCCACATCAAACTGACAAAAGACATAACTGAAATACTCCCACATCAAACTGACACAAGATATAACTGAAATACTCCCACACCAAACTGACACATGCTATAACTGAAATACTCCCACACCAAACAGACACAAGATATAACTGAAATACTCCCACACCAAACTGACACAAGATATAACTGAAATACTCCCACATCAAGCTGACACATGATATAACTGAATACTGTTCAAAGCAGTGTTCAACCCAACCTATTCACTCCTAAAACACATCACACAAGCACTAGAGGTTAAGGTAAAATGCTTTTACTGTAATTGTATACGTAAAGAGATTCTTTTGACAGCCGATACTCAGTATGTCCAACCTGAACCATGTGATCTATAATCTCCCAGGGACCGAGCCACCATACCTGCTGAGAGGAGACGTTGTTGTCATGCTGAACAACACAAGTCCATTAACTGGGGAATAACCCTTTGAATCTGTACTTGAGCAACTTATTAAAGTGATTTTTCAGTCTCCATCCCACTAGCACTAATTTCAGGAAAGTAACGTTTGATGGGACATTTTGGCCAGTTTAAAGTTTAAATGCAGGACATACTGACAGTTTCCTATACAAAGATCACATTCCATCACATAAAGTGCAGGGTTTCACATTATGCAGACATGAGCATCTATTAGACATACCGTATTTGACGTAATAAGCGCCCCGCTCTAATAAGCGCCCACGGTGATATTTGCTAATATATTAGCGAGTGAACAATCCCAATTGGCACCCTTCCGATTGATCACTGTACACAAGACTTATTTTTTCGCGTATAATACGCACTCGTGTGTTATATGCACCCTTAATTATGGGCCATTAAATTCTGGAAAAATATATCTGTCGTACATAAACATTTCAGGCTGTCATCATAAACCACGAAATTTATCTTTCAACTTTGTGTTTTTTACCAAAATAATATTCTAATAAGTCCCCCTGTTTCTAATTTTGAGAGCGCCCTGGGCGATTATTACGTTTTATACGGTAATGTACAGAATGGACACAGACAAAGGGATCTGGGAGTAGAATGGGTGGGGGAGGGGATCCTGGACTAGAAAGGATGGGGAGGGGGATCTTGGGGTAGAGTGGGGAGAATCTAGAATTGTTCAAAACCTCAACACACCTCAGGCCCCCTGTTTCCCTTAAAACATATATATATAGATGTCATTAATTGGACCAGCCATGATCACTTTTTGACACAACAAACTCACCCAACGAACAGACAAATGTTAGACACTGAAGTGTTCTGATACGAACATGCCTGTCATGTGAGTCCATTTCCTGTTGGAGTTTGGAGTTTAAGCGGGACAAACTTCAGAGTGTAACTGATCACAGTTTGTCTGGGAGTAGGTTTGCCCTGCTGTAAAGCATCTAGTTATGTAGCTGGTGTATACACAACATTCAAAAGAGTCTTTACATCACCATGGTTACAACCATGGCAACACATTTCTGCATCCAGCTTGCATATGGGGGAAGTTTAGTTTTGAATGGTAGTGTCTTCATGGTTTCATAATCGACGCAGGCTTATCAACGACAGTCCAGAAATGTTTTGGAACCTGTAGTTCTACCAAGAAAACAGGCACACATAAAGGCAGCAGTGATTACATGGTGCAAGGTAAGAGTGGCTAGTTTACGGTGTACATATGAGTTCTCAAAACACAATTGTGATCAACTAAAGTCCAATCAACTTGTGACAGTCAGGTGACAGGTTAGAAAGACAGACAGATGGACAGACCGAAAGTCAGAGAAATGAACACAGATGGATGGACAGACTAATGGACAGACCGACGGACACACTGATGGACAGACAGATGGACAAACTGGTGGACCGACCAATGAACAGACAGATGGACACAGATGGACAGACCCTTAGACAGACAGATGGACAAACTGGTGGACCGACCAATGAACAGACAGATGGACACAGATGGGAAGACCAGTGGACAGAGAGGATAGACAGATGGACACAGATGGACAGACCCTTAGACAGACAGATGGACAAACTGGTGGACCGACCAATGAACAGACAGATGGACACAGATGGGAAGACCAGTGGACAGAGAGGATAGACAGATGGACACAGATGGACAGACCCTTAGACAGACAGATGGACACAGATGGACAGAGCCTTAGACAGACAGATGGACAAACTGGTGGACCGACCAATGAACAGACAGATGGACACAGATGGGAAGACCAGTGGACAGAGAGGATAGACAGATGGACACAGATGGACAGACCCTTAGACAGACAGATGGACAAACTGGTGGACCGACCAATGAACAGACAGATGGACACAGATGGGAAGACCAGTGGACAGAGAGGATAGACAGATGGACACAGATGGACAGACCCTTAGACAGACAGATGGACAAACTGGTGGACCGACCAATGAACAGACAGATGGACACAGATGGACAGACCCGTGGACAGACCGATGGACAGAAAGATCAATTGACCTATGAACAGACAGATGGGTAAGTTTGACCAAAGATATCAGCACACTTTGAAAACAGCTAAGATCAAGTAACAAGATGAGACAATTTTCAAGGATACTTTTATCCCAGCAGCTTCTCATTCTAGCCATTCCCGCTGTCTAGCCATTCCAGCATTTGGTCATTACAGGAAGTTAAGATTACCATAATGCTGAAAGTCCCACAGCTTTGGCAGTTAAGTAATACACCCTAAATTGTTTCCCTCTATCTCTCTGTATACATTTCCTAGTAGACTCCATGTCGTGTACCATGGCTATGGCTATGCATATGTAATGTAAGATGCATCATGGGAGCAGTGTTGGCAAGACAAGAGCAGCATCATTTTGTTATTTGATAAGATGCACATCAAGAATTTTCTGCAAATGATTTTTGTGTGTGGATTAGATCTATTATGAAGACTACATTCTTATAATTATAACAAAGTCATGTGCACATATTTCTACATTTTAAACTTCCATCATTTGGATAAATCTGAATTTGCTGTTTTCATTCAAAATTTTCTCCTGTAAAATTGTCGAAAGGACTCCTTGGGACTGAAATACTTCAAACCATAGGTAAGTCGATCAGTAGTTACTCGATGTTCTAAAAATTCTACAGTTTTTAACGGGCAAAAAGCATTTTTCTAGCATTTTATTTGACATTACATAGAAATACCACTTTGTTTCAAAACATTCTTATTTCTTCAGCGAGTTTTTTTCCCTAAATTAGTTCCTTAGCACAGCATGTGACTGAGCAGTGGCCAGGGACAACACAACACATGCAATCACTGCTGACAGTTTTATATCCCCTGGATGACCTCAGTCTCTACACTGACTGAACGTGCAGCCACTTCCAGGGCATCTGCTGACTGAAGCGTTGCCTGGCCAAGACATCTAAAATCAGTACCCTGTGGGCAAGCATAATGGCAGCACGATTTTGTCATATGGCAAACACAATATTTATCCAAAACCATAATCCCACACCGGCATACATCCCCAGAAAAAAAACAATTTTTGCAAGTTTGTATTAGAAGCCAAATTGCCATTATAACTGAGAGTGCATGATATTTTCATTGCAAAATCAATTTCCTTTGGTTCTCATGTAATAACATGGAAAGAGAAAGTATTAAATATTTATGAAGGTAAATGCCTGTTCTTAGAGTGTTCTGACACTGTAATATTCTTTGACTGAGTCGGCACGATGATAGCTTTTAAACATTCCCCCACATGACGATACATCATAGTATATAGTATACAAGTACCGTATACGACGTAATAAGCGCCCACAGCGATATTTGCTGACATATTGGCTAGTGAACAATCCCAGTTAGCACCCTTTCCGATTAATCAATGTACACAAGACTTATGTATTCGCGTATAATACACACTCGTGTGTTATATGCACCTAATATGGGCCATTAAATTCTAGAAAAATATATCTGTCGTTCATAAACATTTCAGGCAGTCAGCATAAACCACAAAATTTATCTTTCAACTCTGTTTTTTTCACCAAAATAATATTCTAATAAGAGCCCTCTGTTACTAATTTTGAGAGCGCCCTGGGCGCTTATTACCATATATCGCTGTGTATAAGGCGACCCCACGTATAAGACGACCCCCCTGTACACGCCTTCAAAATCAACCCAAAATCCTATACTCTGTGTATAAGGCGACCTGGAATGAAGCACATCACAAGTGCGCACACAAACCTTATATATGCAATAAAAATATGTTTATCTTGCGTTGTTTTTTTCTACAATGATAGGTCGCGTGTGTAATTCCAGCACACGTCGCCATTTTGTGTTTACACGGTACGACACCAAATTGGTGCCCGTAAAATAAAATTCATTTATGAAGTAATAACATATAAGAGACAATGGTGAGTAATTTAATCGCCAATTAACTATGTTGTAACTAACTAGGCTTATGTTTGCTTCACATTCAGCGTGTTTATTCCACAATCACTTGTACACACCGTCTCCAACACTTGTTAATACAACTGTAAAAACAGCGGGAATTGATTTCAGCTTCACCGGTTATCACATGTTAGGTCACATTTGCAATATGCAAATGCTTACCGGTACTTCCGGCTCTCTACTCACGGATGTTGATTGTCTTACCGTGTCAGCTGGTTTGACAGTCTGCATCGAGGCGAGGGTCATTTCAACTTTATTTGCAGAAATTATTAAACTTTATTAAAGTGAAAGAGATACAAATCATGTTTATGTATGGAAATAGTTATTGGAACAGTTATTTAGGACGAAATGCGAAGTTTTATTGTCAAATGCTGGGCTGGCTATCGGACGCCGGTTGACATCGCCAGTGGAAAAAATTGTGAGATCGACTCCGTGTATAAGACCCCCCTTCTTAACCCCCTCATTTTAGGTACGGAAAACTCGCCTTATACACAGCGATATACGGTACGTCGAATACGGTATTTCCTAGTTATAGTCTCGATCAAAGAGATCCCGAACCTACTGACTGAAGCATGTGGTTGCAAGGGGGGGAAGTCGGACTGATTCATACACATCGTTTACTTTCATGTTGTTGTTACATGAGTGTTGTGTGATCGACTGAAGTTATCGTATTACCTTCAATAAATGGTAATCTATTGTATGTTTGGGCATAATATTCATGTTTGGATAGACCTTGTGACATCAATGTTGATAAACAAAAACAGTTGATAACTGTCATATGTACAAGGTGGGACAATTAGCATCTATCAAGCCTGAGTGAGTGAGTGAGTGAGTGAGTGAGTGAGTGAGTGAGTGAGTGAGTGAGTGAGTGAGTGAGTGAGTGAGTGAGTATGGTTTTACGCCGCTTTTAGCAATATTCCAGCAATATCATGGCGGGGGACACCAAAAATGGGCTTCACACGTTGTACCCATGTCGGGAATCAAACCCTGTCTTCGGCGTGACAGGCGAATGCTTTAACCACTAGGCTACCCGACCGCCCCTCTATCAAGCCTCAGGAAATAAGTACTTGTTGAACCCAATTTCACATCCTTTCTCCTTTAACAACTGCTTTTTATATTTCCTTATTTTTTAAGATTTATTTGTATTATTTGTTATTTTATTTATAATTGATATTTTATATAAATTTTATTATTTTTTATAGTATTATTTCTAATTTTATAATTATATAATTTCTAATTTTATAATTATATAATTTCTAATTTTATAATTATATAATTTATTTATTTATTTATTTATTTATTTATTTATTTATTTATTTATTTATTTATTTATAATTCTCAATTGTGTTTCGGGGGGGGGGGGGGGGGGGGGGGGGGTTGATGTATGTTGGTGCATATGTCCAAAGAAACTAATGAGAGTGAAAAAGACATTTAAATTATCATATTGAGCCATAAGTACAAAGAAGATGATAAACATTCCTTCCTGTCAAACTCCAACAGAGAAGCTGTCCCACTATTGCACAATATTTGTTTCAATGAATATGGAACAAATGATGACCAGATGACCTTATAAATGTACCAAACGCTCAAGTACCTATCTCGTTCAAAATATCCATCACAGCCACCACCATTATTCAATATCCACAGCTTCTCCATGGCAACACAGGCACACTGATTCTGATGGTCTACAATTTAAACATGAGGAATCTGCATGATAACAATGCCACAATGGAACCTGACTACAGTTGCATACAGAACAGTGACGTTGGCTCCATCCCTGTTATTGCCCACCTGGGATATACGACTCATTATCTAGTAATGTCTACCTTAGTCTCTACCACCCTGGGTATTAAACATCACAGTCATGGGCAGTATATGACATATCAAATACTTTTGCATATAAAGCAAATTTCTCAGTAATCTCATTGGTGATGTTGACATAGTCCCATGGGACAGAATAACAGAAGCCATCAGTGGTATGCAACCATTTTCTTAATAACTGTCAGCGGCCTGGGTGGTTGTGTTAGTCTGTATGTTAGATTAATACACACAATTGGTAAATTAGATAGATCCAATTAGACAAGGAGCTGATATTCTATTCTACATTATCACACAGTATTAGTACTACAGAAGGTAGGTGTTCTTGCTTACATGGACTGATTGAAATCAGTACTACAGAAGGTAGGATGTTCTTGCTTACATGGACTGATTAAAATCAGTTTTACAGAAGGTAGGATGTTCTTGCTTACATGGACTGATTAAAATCAGTATTACAGAAGGTAGGACGTTCTTGCTTACATGGACTGATTAAAATCAGTATTACAGAAGGTAGGACGTTCTTGCTTACATGGACTGATTAAAATCAGTATAACAGAAGGTAGGACGTTCATGCTTACATGGACTGATTGAAATCAGTATTACAGAAGGTAGGATGTTCTTGCTTACATGGACTGATTGAAATCAGTATAACAGAAGGTAGGATGTTCATGCTTACATGAACTGATTGAAATCAGTATTACAGAAGGTAGGATGTTCTTGCTTACATGGACTGATTGAAGTCAGTATTACAGAAGGTAGGACGTTCATGCTTACATGGACTGATTGAAATCAGTATAACAGAAGGTAGGACGTTCATGCTTACATGAACTGATTGAAATCAGTATAACAGAAGGTAGGATGTTCTTGCTTCCATGGACTGATTGAAATCAGTATTACAGAAGGTAGGATGTTCTTGCTTAAATGGACTGATTGAAATCAGTATTACAGAAGGTAGGATGTTCTTGCTTACATGAACTGATTGAAATCAGTATAACAGAAGATAGGACGTTCTTGCTTACATGGACTGATTGAAGTCAGTATTACAGAAGGTAGGACATTCTTTTTTACAGGAACTGATTGAAATGAGTATGACAGAAGGTAGGATGTTCTTGCTTCCATGGACTGATTGAAATCAGTATTACAGAAGGTAGGATGTTCTTGCTTACATGAACTGATTGAAATCAGTATAACAGAAGATAGGACGTTCTTGCTTACATGGACTGATTGAAATGAATATTATAGAAGGTAGGACGCTCTTGCTTACACGGACTGATTGAAATCTGTATGACAGAAGGTAGGACGTTCTTGCTTATATGGACTGATTGAAGTCAGTATTACAGAAGGTAGGACGTTCTTGCTTACATGTACTGATTGAAGTCAGTATTATAGAAGGTAGGACGCTCTTGCTTACATGAACTGATTGAAATGAGTATGACAGAAGGTAGGACGTTCTTGCTTACATGTACTGATTGAAGTCAGTATTACAGAAGGTAGGACGTTCTTGCTTACATGGACTGATTGAAGTCAGTATTACAGAAGGTAGGACGTTCTTGCTTACATGTACTGATTGAAGTCAGTATAACAGAAGGTAGGACGTTCTTGCTTACATGGACTGATTGAAATCAGTATTATAGAAGGTAGGACGTTCTTGCTTACATGGACTGATTGAAGTCAGTATTACAGAAGGTAGGACATTCTTTTTTACAGGAACTGATTGAAATCTCTTCTACAGAAGTTTGTTACAGAAGTGATTATGGAAATGGTTGTGTCGCTTTAGGAGAAAAAAAACAACATTTAAAAATTTGAATTCTCCAATTATGCTAATGGAAGCTTCATAGAATGCGTTTTTCAAACATTTGACCTGACAACGCCTGCTTGTGTCAACTTTCACCAACATGCTGTGTTTGTCATGCAGAGGTTGTCAATTAATGATGACAAATCCCAGGAAGATATTCTACAAGAAAGGCTAATTTCCATGCTAAACTGCATAGAATAAATTACCTTTGAGAGGCCCAGTGTGAGGCTGTCGCAGTGCATTCCCTGTTTACATCAGCTGCAGTAACCATGGGATATTCCAATATTCATAGGCCTTACAGTTGGTTGACATGTGAGACTAACATGGAAAGTGGATATTGTCTCCCCTGATGGAGGCGACATCAAGTCCGGGAAACTCTTGACAATAATATGACCCTTTTTTTGTTTCAGCTTCCACAAACTTTTGAGAAAAAATTGAAAAGGACACTGCCAGGAATTGGAGTTTAACAATGAAGGTTAACATGGTGAAGAGGATCCATTGTGCCATGACAGTCTGAACAGGCAGATCTAGGACTTGAGTTCTTGAGTTTAGCATTGGGCGTCATCAGTCGTTGGTATTTGGCTGTCTTTTGACCATGACCACTTCTTTCTAACAAGACAAGATATGACAGAGAAAACTGTCTATAGCTCACCCATGAAGAGATCACCTGTTTAATGGCAATACACCTATAATTAACAGATGTAATAACATCATATGAGGGGACTATTTTTTACATCAGCTGGTCATTCGAATGGATGTGTTGGAAGCACTGTGTTGTAGACAGGTAATAAACTCTTGAAACTTCATCCCTCCCTCTCAATGGATACGTTTGAGATACACTTGTAATAAAAAGTGGTATCTAACAGGGACTTTTTTGTAATCAATATTGATTATATATGAGTTTACCAATGATCTGAGTCAACAATGAAATGATGCTGCTTCTTTGTGGATCACGACTCTTCATCTGATTGTGACGGGACTGACCGACAAGGAGCATCAAACTTTCATCTCCTGGATCTGCACCATGGATGAGGCCAACACGACAGACACTCAGGATGAAGTTCGCATGATCCAAAGTGTCTGCTCCTTTACCATCTCCGTCCTAGGAATGCTGGGTAATTGTGTGGCCATCTACCAGATCGTGTCCCGCGGGCTGTACCAGCAAACCTGCAACGTGTACATCCTCAACCTCAGCATCAACAACCTCCTGACGTGCGTCATCGTCCTCCCTGTCCTCGGCGCCAACAGCTTCTCTGATGGCTGGGTCATGGGCAGCTTCTTCTGCAGCTTCTTCCCCTACATCATGCACTCCCTCACCTGCATCGAGACCAGCGCTCTCATCCTCATCACCGTCAACCGCTACGTGTTGGTCGTGCATCCTGTGACGTACCGAATATATTACTCCAGCCGTCGCTTCAACGCCATGTTGCTGTCATTTCCGGTGATGTTCTTCTTGCTGCTGCAGCTCCTTCCCTTCACTGGGACGTGGGGCCACTTCACGTACCACAAGGACAAGCTGTACTGCACCTTCAGCCAAACTGACCGCGGCACTCGGACGTACATCGTGTTCCTATGCAGTCTCATCCTCGTCACCACCATTCCTGTCCTTGCCTACTGCTACTGTCGAATTCTATGGACATACGTCAAATCGAAGAAACGTTTGAACCACTCAAGTGGAACCCCAAAATCAGAAAATGACCAATCTTCAAAATGGCTGAGCTCGAAACAGGACATCCAGCTGATTCGCACAGTGGTAATAATCATGGTCTGCTATAGCGTCACCCATATACCCTTTCTCGTGGTCAACGTTGTAGATTCGGACTTCAAACAGATTGGCGTTGTGGCCTACACGTTTCTGACATACCTAGCTCTGTCACACACAGCTATTAACCCTGTTGTGTACGCCCTGCTCAACACACAGATCAACAGCAACCTGCGCTGTTGTCAGAGTCTCTGCCAGAAGCGTAACGAAACATCAGTACATTTACGGCAAACTGCTGTATCCCCAAGCTAGTTACCAGTCAGCCAAACAAGTGATTGTCAAAGAGGCTAATTCATTGGAACATCGACTGGCAATATCTACATATTTATGCTATTAAATGTAAATTTAGAACATTACCTTTATTAACATTGCCCTTGTGCTATGCATGCAGGCTTGAGCAAGTGTTTACTTCTTAAAATGCTGCGTCAGCAATCTTGCAGCCATCAAGGCGATATGCATGCAGGCTTATGCAAAAGTGATGCAAAAGAAGTGTTGTGATAGTGAATTCAGAGGATACAAGTGAGAGTGAGTTGATTTTACCATTGTTTGAACATCATTCTAGTTATATTGCATTGTGTCACCTTGTCAGCCTAAACTGATGCTGGATGTAGACATTTGACAAGCAAAAGCAAGGAAATGGTGCGGATGGACCAAGGATGATATTTGGGTGAACATGTGACACTCGGAGGGGGCATAACTTTCATATGGGTCAGATATGCTACAGATTAAACTACAGAGACTGGTGGAAGAGTGTCACTTCCAAGAAACCAGGTATGGAAGACTGGGATCCTGTCTATTGATACCGGTTCTCTGAAGATGTGGTGGAGTTCAGAATGTTGCGGCAAGTCAAAACATGTTTCCATGTTACTGATCTCTGAAATAACAGCCAAATTTGATTGAGACATGTCATAATACATCCTGTGTCGGCAGTATCTGAATGTCAGAGTGAGTGAGTGGATGAGTGGGTCAATGAGTGAGTGAGTGAGTGAGTGAGTGAGTGAGTGAGTGAGTGAGTGAGTGAGTGAGTGAGTGAGTGAGTGATACTGCTTTATACAGCATTTCACTGCTGAAGCCTCATCCAGGAGGTGCGAGGTCATTATCTGGAATTCAAACCCACAAGAAGCAAGTCATGGCATGACTAAGGGACACAACTCTGCTCCACCTTTGGCCACTGGGCCACCTCTGTAGACTGATGCATGATGTAGTTCTTGTGATGTAATTTCACATTTGCTCAAAAATAAAGTCACAAAAATGTAAATGTTTGTAATGTATTATCTAGAACTGTTGATGAGTTTTTTCACTTATAGGATCTTGTTTGCAATCATGTTTTCAACGCTACATGTCTGGTGTAAACGCTGACCACTAACTAAGTAAGTTAATGTGTTGCTGCAATGTGTCTTCAATATTCAAACATCATAGCAGCCCCCAAAGAACTGAAGTTGGGCCAGCAAACTAGGGGTTGACAGCATGAGAAACAATCCAAGCCAATCACACATTGCAACCAGCTGACTCACAATGTACATGCTCCTACAACTAGGACTTCCACGAGTCCAAATTTTTGGACTCGAGTACCCGAGGGGTGAAACTCGACTCGTACTCGAGTACCCGAAAATAGGACGTCCTTTAAGAATATTGGTTCAATAGATCAAAATTGCAATCTAAAAGTATTAAAACATGTTATAAGTATAATTGAACTGCACTGAAATGTAAATAGAGAGCGTCCACGGTACTTGTTTATCTGTCAAAGTGTATGGAAGTGTTCAGTGTTAATGTTTGCTTGTAACTACACTAATCTTAATCACGACCTTCAAAAACACTACGCCACGTCTACAAATACTACAATACATATTGAACACAAACCAATTTTTTTTTTCTGACGATCAGCGTTTCATTTGACACCTGCCAACAAGCAGGAACAATAATTAGCAGGAAGAAAATTGATAATGTGCATCACATGACATACACGTATACACAGCTGCTGGGCTGCAAGACTAAGGCCGCTAAATATGGAAATGTAGTACTATAAGTTCATTCATTCATGAGTTGGTCACGTTTTCAAACTGTACCAAACTGTCGACCTGTCGCTTGATTTGTAAGCACTGAAATAACACATATATATCAGCTAATCAGTTGTTAATCTGTGTAAGGGAATACACTTGGCATTTGAGTCGGAGCAAAGAAGCAATGATCGCCTTGATACATTCAATTTCTTAAGGTCGGGAAGGAAAAACAATAATTACGTCCATTTTATGTGACATTCTCAATTGTTCTAATGTACATCTACTTTCTACAAAGAATACATTTTTCAAACAATATTTTTTGAAGCTTTAATCAATATATTGATGAACAATAGAACATTGAAACAGAGTGATCTCCCCTTATCGAGTACTCGAGTCCTTGATAACGGACTCGAGTCCCAGTAAAACCGACCCGGCCCCGAGTACTTGTTGAAGCCCTACCTACAACGACCATTTGAAACTAGGGACTTGTTCTCCCCGAGCATAACCACAGCGGATTTAAGCCTTATGAAATTCACGCTAGTCTGTTAGTCTGAGACGACTAAACTTAGTTGAGGACACAAAAAATCCAATGATGGCAGTCCTCTATGATATACTTCTCAATAACAAGTAGCATTTGAGGATTGTAATTCTGAACCAGTTTTCACTGTTTCAATTTTGCTGCAAATTGGAACTGAATAAAACTGACAGAAAATGTAAACATATCGAACATTTTTGTCCGTTCAAGCAGGAGTAGAAATCAAATTTCCACCAGTCTTCTGGACTAATCTATGACTGGTATTTGTACATGACATCAGGTGAGGTGAAATGGGGTTTAACGTCGCGTCCAAGATTATTGCACATATATAGCGACGTGCATGCACGTGTATGTGTGTGTGTGTGGCTGCTTGTACTAGTCCTGACTGATGGCGATTTATAGTGCTAGCACACGAGATGCCATACCGCAGTTTAACATGAATACCCCACTCAGACACAGTATACTGACTCCGAGCCGACCAGTCATTGTTTTAGACCCTTAATGCCAAGCGCCAGACAGGGTAACAACAAGTACCATCTTTTAACGTCTTTTGGTATGACGCGGCTGGGGATCGAACCTTGGACCTTCCGCTCTCCGGGCAGACGCTCTTCCATTATACCACAGAGGCGGTCACATGACATCAGGCGTGCTGAGAGTCATTGTGCTGTGGTCTTGAGTGAGTGAGTTGGGTTTAATGCCGCTTTGAACATTATTCCTGTCAGCTTAATGTGGGAGGAGAGACTGAAGTGATGCAGGTCTCAGACATTTACCCCACAAGCAGGCGTATGCAGCGGTAAGAACTAACAGTTTCAGTCCACTTGTCCTTATAATGATAGCATATAGCAAAACCTTTAAAAATGGCAAAATTCTACTGGTCCTTAGGATACCTTTACTATTGGGCACTTTGGCAAGGACTATAGGACTAGTGCCAATTTCTAACCCTGCGTATGGTGTTGACAAACATAGAAACATGATCGTGGCAAACCGGGATTTGAACCACGATCACAGAATTCTGTTGTTTCAACGGATGCAACTCTGCACAGCAAATTGTGGCGTCTAAGATGACTGGGCCACCCCTGCTATGACCTTGACCAAACATAGAGCAGCACTCACCTGGAGACTCCAGCCCTTCAGGGAAAAAGTAGTCTGTGTACTCCAGATGAAGAACAGACATGTCTGCCGGCAGATGGAGAAGCTTCTTGTCCGACGCAAAGAACTTCGGGTGTCCTGTTCTCTTGTTGTCCGGTGTGGACACCATGTAGATTGTGAAATCCTCCAGCTTGACAACAACACAACTCTCCAACAGACGGGTACTCTTCTTCGGACGATGGCTTGGGGACACTTGGGGCGACCTTGACCCTGCAACTTGAGGTGACCTTGACCCTGGAGCTGTAGGGCTGGGCATGGGTTTGGCTGGGGAGGGGAGTGGGGAGGGGTGTGGGGATGAAGATACATGTTGAGGGGAAGGGAAGGGGTGCTGGGGGGAGGGCTTCTGGGAATGGGTAGGGGACTGAATGTTGAAGGCTTTCCGAGCCTGCATCACCTCGTCGCGGAAGGAACTAAACAGCTGCAGTACCCAAGGGTTACGAGAGCCGACGTTGTCCATGTAGCGATGCCAGTGCTTCCTTTCCCCACCTGGAACAAAAAACAAACCCTATATTACAAAACCATGGAACAAATAACAACCCCTATATTACAAAACCATGGAACAAATAACAAACCATATATTACAAAACCATGGAACAAATCAAGAAACCACAATCTTATATTGGGAACATGATGCCAGTGACTGTCTTGAAAATTACGACATTAAACAGAATTATGACATTAAACGCAACTTATTTTGAATAAATATTAAAACATGTCGAAATAGGTTCATCCTAACTGTCAAATGCATAAATCAGAAACGTCAAATAACTCCCCCCAAGAAACCTGCATTTCCCTGACCAAACAATTGTTTTTACAAAAGTGGAATTAAGAACAATTCTGAGTTATTATTATCAATATTCACTGAGTGGTGCATATAGGTTTGTTTGTAAGTTCTTCAAAGCCACACTCAGCAATATTCCAGCTACATGACGATGGTCTGTAAAACCCAGAAAATCGGGTCTGGACCAGACAATCCTGAAAGGGATGTCGCTGAGGCACCCCATGGGGCAGAGAGGATTACAGCAATGTTCAACAATCTACTGCCATCATCAGTCCAGGTCTAGACACTAGAATCAGTGGCTTATGATTAATTACATTACATTACTTCTCAGAGCAGCACTGGGACAGCCTTTCCCATAGTGAACATACCACTGACCTTTATGTCTCACTGTCATTTCTTACAGTGATTTTCATGTTATACAAAATGTCAGGACCATTTCCGAAAAAATGAAAATGAGAGGCAGAAGATAATATAAAGATGGCAATTCAAAGACAATATGTTGTGACTGCATGCTTTGACTGACAGGAAACCCTGATGTATATGACACTCAGACAAAGACGTAAGACAGTATGGTGATGGAGTACATGTGCCATGCAGTGCTTATTGCTGTGTACCCAACCTCCAGCTGGACACAGAAGAGTGAGAAATAGAGAAAATGCAGTTTTGAGTGAGTGAGTGAGTTGGGTTTAACGCCGCTTTTAACATTATTCCAGTCATATCGCGGCGTGTCAGCTTAATGTGGGAGGAAAGCCCGAAGTGATGCAGGTCTCAGACGTTTACCACTTCGGTGAAACCCAGGAGCACGGGTATGGTGCTGACAAACCTAGAAACATAGTCGGGGCGAACCGGGATTCGAACCCACAATCATAGGTTTCTGGTTCGCCCAAGGGACGCAACTCTGCACAGCGAATAGCTGCGCCTTAGACTGTTTTGTTGTTTCTTTTGATGAAACAAAGACAATTACCATGGACATATCAAACTATTTATGTCTTTCTCAAGGTGCATTTGCACAAAAGGGCATAAAATATCTAAAGACAGGTCTGAAATGCTCTAATTTAATTCCAACATGGAGTAATGGAAACTGACCCCTTGAAAAGCTGCATAAGTGAGTGAGTGAGTATGGTTTTACGCCGCTTTTAGCAATATTCCTGCAATATCACGGCAGGGGACACCAGAAATGGGCTTCACACATTGTACCCATGTCCGGGATCGGACCGAGGTCTTAGGGCGTGACGAGAGACCGCTTAAACCAATCGGCTACCCGACCGCCCAAAAGCTACATAAACAAGAGGTCACTCCGACTGCTAAAACTTCAGTATAATATTTGGTGTTGTGTAATGGTCTTGATGTAGTCAGGTTTTTGTTACTGGTGTGTCAGAGAGTGACACCTAAAGTCAAACTGATACCACACTATTTGTTTGTTGGTTTGTTTGTTGTTTTCATGCCGCACTCAGCAATATTCAAGTTATATGACGGCAGTCTGTAGATAATCAAGTCTATCAGACATTCCAGTGTTTGACATCATGAGCATCAATCCATGCATTTAGGATATGATGACATACATCAACCAAGCCAGTGAATCTGACCATCCGATCCTGTTAGTCGCCTCTTACGACAAGCATAGCCACCTTTTACATGAAGCATGGTTTGCTGAAGACCTAGTCCACCCTGAGTCTTCACGGGTCAATACTATACTAAGACATGCTCAATTTCTTCTTAAAAAATCACAAATTTTAAAGTGATATAACCATGTTAACAGTGATATCATAATCTCTGATTTCTTATGTTTTAGACATCTCTTCACTGACTACAGGAGAAGTAAAATCCTTAATACATTACACAAATGCATTCAGTGTTCTTCAAACAGTAACAAGGTTAGAAAATCAGATAAGAAAAAGGAAGCTCCCCGTTTCTTTATCACAACACCAACAGATGTACATCTGGATTCTGTGAGTGTTGAGGTCCAAACCCAGACTGCATTATCTCAGCTGAGAAATTGCTTACAATTGTAGTCAAACTTGGACCAGGTAAACCCGTGCTAGCATGATATCAGGTTCAAACACAGCCTGTTTACACCGGCTAATAGCTGCAGCCTTGCCCTAGAGGTCATTCTGGGCAGTTTGGGGTACCCTAGTGGATAAAGCGTTCGCTTGTCACCCCAAAAGACTGGGTTCGATTCCCGACATGGGTGCAATTTGTGAAGCCCATTGCTGTGTATCTTGCCATGATATTGCTGGAATATTGCTAAAAGCAGCTCAACACCAAATTCACTCACACCCAATCTGATTAAAATCAGACCTTAGTTGTCGCTATCGCTAAACAAAGTTCTGAAGACATCCCATTAGGAGTCACGTCAGAACGACCTTTCATCCGACCAATCAGAGCGTCGCTTACCAGATCATGAAAGTGACAGTCGGAATGTGATTTCTAATCATACAACCTCGAAAACTTTAATTTCACATGGGGTATTCCGAACGATAATTACGGGTTTAACGACTGAATCCATACAATCTAGACCATCTATTAGCCATTCCAGAATGTTCTTTTGTTCAGGTTTCAAATTTGTAATCGAGAATTTGTCAAAATATGTTTGGAAGCGTAGTCACCAATTTGAAATTAGTGCCGTAAAGCACGAGAAAGCTGCCTTCTGATTGGTCATTCCATTGGTCAGTCAAAGTTCGCGCAAGGTTGGTCTGACGTGACCCTTAATGGGATGTCCTCAGATCTTTGTTCACCAGTAGCGAGAACTAAGATCTGATTTTAATGAGATTGACTCACACCATGTCAAATACTCTCAGCAGCCATGTTGGCCACAAGAACCCCTTCTCTACAAGCATGGGGACCTATCTCACAGGCTCAAAAAGAAGCAAAAAGAAAGAAAAGAGATGGAAGCACCGGCAGCAGTGTTAGCCTGGTGTGTGACAAAACCAGACAAACCAAGTCAGAGACCAGGCATTCAGCAATACCATCACAGCAGAAGCAGAAAAAGGGACATAACTCTTCATGTCTTGCACAGCACACACACCCCAAGCTCTGAAGCAGAGTCCTTTTGTGGCCCACAACCCTGCTGCATGGACTCTACCAATAGCCATGAAACAGATAACTTTAGCAGACCCTTCTAGCCTCTTGTCTAAGTCCCCCCACCCCAATCTTTTTATTATTTTTCATTAAAAGTTATTTTTTCAGTAGTTGCTATGATCACAGAGAAAGCAAGTTAAACAAGACTAGACCAACAATTAGTCTATGAAATTTGTGACTACAAATTAATTCTTTGTTTTGAAAACTATAGTTTTCCACTAATGCTGATTGATACACCATGTCGACTATCTGTTTATAATCTAGACTCGTCTAGGAATCGAAAATTAAATAAAATGAAGATATTCCATAAGTCCTTAAGGATGAATGATTTCAATGCTATGAAAACTCAGCCTTCGACGCGATTACACTTGTAAACCTTAGTGCAGTGAGCCATTAACCCTTGTACATGTGTAGTGAACCATTAACAATTGTACAGTAGCCGTTAGTCCTTGTATATTGAGCCTTTAACCCTAGTATAGTGATCTGTTAAACATTGTACAATAGCTGTTAACTCTTGTGGAGTGAGCCGCTATTCCTTGTATAGGGAGTCATTAACCCTACCATAGTCGTCTGTTAAACATTGTACAGTGAGCCGTTAACCCTTGCATATATTGAGTTATTAACTCTTGCAATGCCAACTCACCCCGAGTCATGATCAAATCACAGTCTGTAAAAACAAAACAACTCAAACATTTGAGAAGGTGGATCGTGAAAATGTGCAAGGTATCAAGTGACAAGCAGTTTGTGATGGAGTAATGTCGTGATGGAGTAATGTCGTGATGGAGTAATGTCGTGATGGAGTAATGTCGTGATGGAGAAATGTCGTGATGAAGTAATGTCGTGATGAAGTAATGTCGTGATGGAGTAATGTCGTGATGGAGTAATGTCGTGATGGAGTAATGTCGTGATGAAGTAATGTCGTGATGGAGTAATGTCGTGATGGAGAAATGTCGTGATGGAGTAAAGTTGTGATGAAGTAATGTCGTGATGAAGTAATGTCGTGATGGAGTAATGTCGTGATGGAGTAATGTCATGATGGAGTAATGTCGTGATGAAGTAATGTCGTGATGAAGAAATGTCGTGATGGAGTTATGTCGTGATGGAGTAATGTCGTGATGGAGTAATGTCGTAATAAAGTAATGCCGTGATGGAGTAATGTCGTGATGAAGTAATGTCGTGATGAAGTAATGTCGTGATGGAGTAATGTCGTGATGGAGTAATGTCGTGATGGAGTAATGTTGTGATGAAGTAATGTCGTGATGGAGTAATGTCATGATGGAGTAATGTCGTGATGAAGTAATGTCGTGATGAAGTAATGTCGTAATAAAGTAATGTCGTGATGAAGTAATGTCGTGATGGAGTAATATCGTGATGGAGTAATGTCGTGACGAAGTAATGTCGTGACGAAGTAATGTCGTGATTGAGTAATGTCGTGATAAAGTAATGTCGTGATGGAGTAATGTCGTGATGGAGTAATGTCGTAATAAAGTAATGCCGTGATGGAGTAATGTCGTGATGAAGTAATGTCGTGATGAAGTAATGTCGTGATGGAGTAATGTCGTGATGAAGTAATGTCGTGATGGAGTAATGTCGTGATGAAGTAATTTCGTGATGAAGTAATGTCGTGATGGAGTAATGTTGTGATGGAGTCATGTCGTGATAAAGTAATGTCTTGATGAAGTAACGTCGGGATGGAGAAATGTCGTGATAAAGTAATGTCGTGATGAAGTAATGTCGGGATGGAGTTATGTCGTGATAAAGTAGTGTTGAAAAAATGTGAACGCCATGTGACAAAACATGAACATGCATGATACAAGAAGAACACATTTCATGGTCAAGAATCCACCAATCAAAGTACATTTGATGATGTTCTATGCTCAATTCCCGCCCTCAATCATCTTCCACAGACAAGGGCGTTAACGGACTATATGAGTCCAGTTTCCACCCTTGCCGAACTAGGCTTGACATGCCGGAGTTACATTTTGGCTGGACTAACGAGTCTATGCATAGTCCAACCTGACGTCAACAGATGTTTTGCAAATCTTTTCATGTTTTTAATCAAGGTGCTTACGTGATTTGATGCACTTGTAAGACCTGTTTTATTACAATAAAGATCTTGATTGTTGATCAGATCGTCTTGACTGGGCGCTGCCAGTTTGTGTGAAGCAAATGCAAGTGATATCAGAGATGGAATCGTATTGGTCAATAGGAGGGACATAGAAGGGACGTAACACGTAATAGCATATCATATACATGAATACCACCGATGTTTTGTTCAACAACAAAGATTTATGAGATACACAGGGACTGGCAGTCACATGAATTACCGGTCCAAAACTGGTACTGTCAAGTCTCGTTAATCCGAGACTCGTTAATCCGACAATCGGCTTTATCCGACACTAATAATGGGAGACTGATTAAATCAGTGCTATTTAGACCCGTTAATCCGACAGTCTCGCACTCCAACTCCGACACCTATAATTTGCAACGAATTACCGAAATCACTCATAAATCCGTTAATCCGACACAGTGATCAGCGTACTCCGTGGTCATCTGCCCGCGAGTACACAGCCCGTGTTTTCATTGGAGACGAGTCGGCTGGTAGCTCCATATTACAATGACTGCAGAGATAAACTTGCTTAATAATAAACAATTAATGGTTTAAATAAAGAAAACAGGATTATTCACATGTTCTCGCTATCGCCGAGGACATCCCATTACAGGTTAAGTCAGAACAACCTTCCGGGAACTATGACCTACCAATGAAATGTCCAACAGGGAGTCAACGTTAGCCACATAGAAAGCAGCTTTTGTAAGCTTTGTGGTACCAGTTTCAAACTTAAGACTTCCATTCCAGACTATGCCCTTTAAAGTATTTTGAATGAGTCATACAGTCCGTAACAGTTGTTTTGTGTTGTGCTTTAGAGGCTGCATGATTAGAAAACATATTCCGTTAACAATGTAACAAAACGATATGAATATTTCATTTATATTTTTTTATTACATGTTTGTATCGTTATCTATCGTGTAGTTGTCCGATTTTCGATCATGAACGTTGATACTGCTTAATTTCGTTTGTCCGACATACTTGTAAATCCGACATAATCATATGCAACCAACCATGTCGGATGAACGGACTTGACTGTAACTACCGGTAAACGGGAACACTACATGCGTGAGATTGAATCATCGGGGCAGAAATCATGGAGAGGTGTATTCTTAAATCAGTTATCAACAATGAATCAAGCAAACATAAATGTGATGTGTGATAAAAGCCAATCTCATTAAAATCAGACCTCAGTTCTCGCCACCGCTAAACAAAGATCTGAGGACATCCCATTAGGGGTCACATCAGAACGACCTTTCATCCGACCAATCAGAGCATCGCTTACCAGATTATGAAAGTGACAGTCGGAATGTGATTTCTGATCATGCAGCCTCGAAAACTTTAACTCCAAACGATAGTTACGGGTTTAGCCATTCCAGAATGTTCTTTTGTTCAGGTTTCAAACTTGTAATCGAGAATTTGTCAAAATATGTTTCGAAGCGTAGTCGCCAATTTGAAATTAGTGCCATAAAGCACGAGAAAGCTGCCTTCTGATTGGTCATTCCATTGGTCGGTCAAAGTTCGCGCAAGGTCTTTCTGACGTGACCCCTAATGGGATGTCCTCAGATCTTTGTTTAGCGGTAGTGAGAACTAAGATCTGATTTTAATGAGATTGGATAAAAGCCTGCTGTGCAACTGAGTAAATGTGCAGCACATACATGTAGTATCAGAATATTTTCCAGTATTCCCGGTCATCCCGGGGAAAGTTGGGGTAGCCTAGTGGTAAAAGCGTTCGCTTGTCACGCCAAAGGACTGGGTTCGATTCCCCACATGGGTACAATGTGTGAAGCCGATTTCTGTGTAACCCGCTGTGATGTTGCTGGAATATTGTTAAAAGCCGCTCAAATACAATGCAATGTTCCTGCCATATTCACTGGCCTGGACACTGTCATGTGTCATTTGACTGAAATGTATATTGACTCCAAGTCGGGTCAGATAATTACAGTGTTGACTGGAGTTACTGAAAATAGAATGGGGAATTACCAGGAATGGAATTCCCCAAACCTCAGCTGAACAGATGTCTCTGTTTGTTGGAAACGTAAGACTTCGTCCTTGGTCAATATTGATTTTTTCAGGTCAGTTAAAACAGGTATGGACCTTATAGAAAGGTCTAAAATCGTATGTCATCATGATCATACAGAATTGAACTTCTATACTCAAGGTTTATCTGGACACGTGGAGGCGGGGACGTAGCCTAGTGGTCACTCACTCACTCACTCACACTTCGGACATGACAGTTATTCAAGTGAACATGACATTTTTTAGGAGCTATTGTTGATGGTCAAACAAATTTAACCAAAGGAGATATTTGAAACATCGGGGGAAAATATTGGTTGACATTAAATTTAATCAAAGCCCTGTATTGTCTCAAGTGAATATCAATCATATATGGATGTATGGAGGAGCAGGGCAACTTGACACAGCAACAACATCTGTTTGACGTGTTCAACTTTCTAAATGCACTTGTATGGTGACAATGATGAATAGATTTCAGTGACAGATGTACATGATCTGTCATTCAAACATGCATCCAGGTGGCAACTGCAGAAGTTGGTGTAGACTTTTCAACTGTAATGTTACCACACAGTAACATTACACAGCTGTATCATCCACTCATATCCTAAAGTCATGTCACACAGCTGTAACATGGAGTCATCACCATGTCATACAGCCATATCACAAAGTCATATCACACAGCTGTATCTAACAGTAACATCACACAGCTGTACCACACAGTAACATCGCACAGCTGTATCATCCACTCATATCCTTAAGTCATGTCACACAGCTGTAACATGGAGTCATCACCATGTCATACAGCCATATCACACAGCTGTACCACACAGTAACATCACACAGCTGTATCATCTACTCATATCCTTAAGTTATGTCACACAGCTGTAACATGGAGTCACCACCATGTCATACAGCCATATCACAAAGTCATATCACACAGCTGTATCTCACAGTAACATCACACAGCTGTATCGCACAGTAACATCACACAGCTGTACCACTAAGTAACATCACACAGCTGTATCTCAAAGTAACATCACACAGCTGACCACACAGTAACATCACACAGCTGTACCACACAGTAACATCACACAGCTGTATCTCTCAGTAACACCACACAGCTGTATCATCCACTCATATCCTTAAGTCATGTCACACAGCTGCACCACACAGTAACATCACACAGCTGTACCACACAGTAACATTACACAGCTGTATCATCCACTCATATCCTTAAGTCATGTCACACAGCTGTAACATGGAGTCATCACCATGTCATACAGCCATATCACACAGCTGTACCACACAGTAACATCACACAGCTGTATCATCCACTCATATACTTAAGTTATGTCACACAGCTGTAACATGGAGTCACCACCATGTCATACAGCCATATCACAAAGTCATATCACACAGCTGTATCTCACAGTAACATCACACAGCTGTACCACACAGTAACATCACACAGCTGTATCATCCACTCATATCCTTAAGTCATGTCACACAGCTGTAACATGTAGTCATCACCATGTCATACAGCC